ATACACCCCACCCCCAACCCCCCCATCCCCAAAAGTTTCTCAGCGGATTTGGGCTGTACTCAGCAAGCGCAGTACAGCTTCCAACTCAGATCTGAAAAAAAATTAGTGGATGGTTGTTTTCTGACTGGTCAGCAGACCGCCGACCGGTCGGCCCTACTGGTCGGCTGCAATACGGTCGGCGGTCGGGGTCGGCGGTCGGCAGGGATGCAACCATGCTCTGAGAGGAAAAGTGGTAGGGCAAGCTGACAGGCAATCCTCCTGATAGGGAGCAATCAATGCTGGTCAGGGTTCCTTCGGCCAGACGGAAGGAAGCGTGGGAGGGTTCACCATGAATTTCAACTTTTGACTTGCCGGTGGAAAGGAACCGGACTGACGCTCCCCAGAATGGATATGGAGCCAGGACCATAAGGACCTGTCTTAATTAAAAAAAATAAAAAAAATAAAAAAAATCACAATGAAAGCCAGATAGTTGATAGCTGTCCAGTCCAGAAAGCAGAAATGCACTGATATCACACCCAAGGAGATCCAAAGCAGCGATCTCAATTGTCAATGAAAGCATACTCTCGCCACCACCAACAATGTCTTCAAAGCTCTAACTCCTATTGGGGCTCAGCGCCCAGAGTACAATCACACAGCTACTATCCTACTCTACAATATGATGAAGCAACCAGTTGACATCAGCAGCAGCAATGACAGTACATGCAGATGTCAACCAGGCAGACCACCGTCATGACCAGATACGTGTCCTCACATCATCCTCATCTCTCCCTCTCTGCTCACCCTTGTATTCTTCTCCCACATGCTCTCCCTATCCGAAGATCACCACCATACCCCGCTGACCATGTCCAAGCTCAGACTGGCTGTGGAGGGCTGAGCTATGGCGCTGCCAGACTGCAGCGCCCTTCTTCCACGCGACCGTGCTCACGCTCGAACACTAGTGCCAGCATGCCTCACATGCGAGCAGATGCCGCGCTAACGCATGCACTGCCCAGTGCCCGAATGCCTTGCTAGCTGCCCAGAACTATATGGAAAGTGGCTGGGCGCTGCTGGCAGCCTGCCGCACTGCACCGAGTTTCCAGCAGCTTGACTTTCGGCCCAAGTGTCTGTGCCCAGGCCCGTTCAGACAGTGGCCTGGGACCGAATTGGTTAGGAAGGCCTAACCACTCCAGAGCGCACGTGTGGTGTGCCTTGCTTTGTCTGCCTCCCGGAAGAGTCTGGAAGGCTCACAAATATTTCTGATTCCCACGGGCAAGGCAGATGTAACCAACTGGCACGTGGTAACTGTCTGCTGCCCACCAAGACATTGCAAGATTGACGGATTCAGGGCTCCTTGCGATTTGGGGGCCCACCTTCACTTAGGGCGGGCACGTGTTTGCAGCAGGGGCCTTATGCAGGTGTAAAATCCTCGCATCAGCATACATTCCCACAAATGATTGTATTTTTATTTTTTCTTAGTTATCTGTGACGGAAAGCTCACATCTGACAGATTGTTGTAGGTTAGAATAGTTGTCTACTCTTTCCTGCATTGCATTCTGTTCGAGGCTAGTCAGAAATAGAAGTAGAATTGTTTGTGGGGGTCTGAACTTATCTGCAGACACCACTTGGCTACTTTCTGACACATCTGGACCGGATTATTAGGGGTAACTACGCAGGAGTCACAAAAACGAGTTATAATTGCATTATTGCACTATGGGCCAAGATGCAGTTTGCAATTGCACTTCAGGCACCCTACCTGGCCAGAAATCTGGGTTGTATACATTGCCCGGACTGCAATTGCAAACTGTATTTTGGCCCATACCGCAGTTATAACTCGTTTTTGTGCCTCCCACGTAGTTTCCCCTTTTTTATTTTTAGCATGGGTTGGATGCTTTGCTGCGGTAAGTCCCTAGGGGGAAACTCCGACTATACACCAAGATGTTATCGAGGTAGACGAGTACAAACCTATCCAGCATGTGTCGGAACTCCGTTGTCATAGCCGCTTGGAAAGTGGCCGGGGCATTCGTAAGGCCAAATGGCATGACCAGTCATTCGAAATGCCCATACCGTGTCCCGAACGCGGTCTTGTAGCGGTCCTCCTTGCGAATCTCGAGTTGGTGGTACCCTGACTTGAGATCCAGCTTAGAGAAGAACTGGGCGCCGCCCAATCGCTCGAGAAGGTCATCGATGCGTGGGAGAGGGCCGGCGTTCCTAATCGTCTGCGCGTTGAGCTTGCGATAATCGATGCATAACCGCAGGTCCTTGTTCTTCTTCCAGACGAAGAGAACAGGAGCACCATATGGCGATGAGCTAGGCCGAATCCAACCTTTCTCTAGAAGGTCGTCGAGTTGTGCCCGAAGCACACTTAACTTTTCCTCGCTCATTCGGTAGATGCGACCGCGCGGAGGTACGGCCCCGTCCGAGAGGATGATCTCGTGGCGGATGGGTCGATCCGGTACTACTCCGTGCGGKCCTTCGAACACGTCGCTGTAGGCGTCGAGAAGCTCGGTGATGCGTGGATCCAAAGGTGAGTCTGTCGATGAAACGTCATGGGGCGGGAGGGCGTGGAGAAAACACACCCCTATCTCCTCGATGTCGTCTCTGATGATGGAAGCTCGCATGCTTGCGGCGGATACCACGTGGCAGCTGATCGAAGGATGAGGAAGAGGCACCGTGCATGGAACTAGTACTCCGTTCCGATCAYGAATGTGAACTGTGCGGTGGAAGAAGTTCACCGGGTGATCCTCGCTTCGCAGCCATGACATGCCCAAGATCATGTCAAATTTGGTGTCCAGAATGTCAAAGGACACCGCTTCACTTGCGTGAGGGGCAAAGTACACTGGGACGGCGTCAATGCACCGGTCGATGGACTTGTGCGTATGACCGTCTGCCAAAGTGACTTGCGTAGGCTGGGACTTCCTCCGGACACCTGGGCCAAGGTCGGTGTGTAGCATGAAGTCCTGGCTGATGTAGTTGCGAGATGCTCTGCAATCGATCAAGGCACTGCAGGTCGCCTCTTCGATTTGAATGCGTACGTATAGCAATGGTGCGTCGATGTCGTCGTACCGTTGCGTCTTGAACTCGCGGTCGATCTTCGCAATGTAAGCGTGAAGGTCGGCAACCTCTACTCCGACGTCCATCAACGGAGCTGGTACTGCAGTGTGCAAGTAATCCCGCAATTGTGCCATAAGCACGTTGCAATGCGGTTTCGGCAATCGTCCGGTCGAGGGAACGGGCATTGGGAGTCCGTGAACGTCAATGGGTCGAGCTCTTCAAGTCTTGACCATGACGTCGAATCCCCGGCGATAGATTGCGGCGAAGCTGCCGAATCGGTTGCCGATGGTGATGAAACCGTGCATGCGATGGATTGTTGCACGTGGAGCGGTTGGTCAAGCGGTGGAACCAAATGGACAGCATAGTCCTCATAAGAATAACGAGAACTTGCGACATTCACGTTCTCCCCAGATGTGCAGGAGGCCGCTAGCAAGGCGGCCGAATCTGGCGGAGTAGAAGGTGGAGTCGCCTCACCTTCCGCGGAGCTCAGTTTCCCGAGTTGAGGCGGGGTCGCACATCCTCCTTGCCCTGATCCTGGCACAGGGAGGKCTTGTGCTTGGTGTTGTTGCACCAATAGCAGCTGCCGTAGCGGCCGTGGACCTTGTACTCCGCCTCGGTCAAGCTGAACTTGACCCATGGAGCTTGTACTGGCTATCCATTTCTGGCCTGCGATGCGGATTTCGCCTTCCCATTGTTGCGGGACTTGTTGTTGCTTCGCGGCTGGACAACAGCCACCTGATCTCCGTCACTTGATGCTGGAGTGGCTGTTGGGTTATCTCCACTGTCCGACTGGACTGCAGCGAAGTGCTGCTGTCGCGGACTAGTTCGTGCCTTCTCCACATAGGTCGGCTGCCATGTTGACTTCTCGTGTGCAACTGACCTGTTGGTCTTGACGATCTCTCTCGCCTTGTCGATAATCTCGGCGAAAGTGGAGTACTGCTCGCGATCACCAAGAGCCTGGCTCAATGCAGCACAGGACCTGTTGTAGAACTCACGKCKGAGATGCGTGAATGGCAAGTCCAGATTGGGCACTGCCGCAATCTTCTGCCACTCCGTGAGCCAATCCCGTGTTGCAGTGTTGCCCTGTGACATGGTGAACAGACGGTTGATGGCGAGTGCCGGCGCGTCGTCGACGGTGAACCGTTTCTTCCACAACCGTGTCAGTTCCTCCCATGTGATCTTGCCCTTCAAGTCCGGTACGTCGACGCCGTGAGAGGTTGCCAGGTGGATCAACCAGGTCTGGCATCCACCCTTTGAGTTCAGGAACAGGGCGCCGATGTACGCATGCTTGGCTACGGGCAGAATCCTGAGTTGCGTTGTGAATGCTTCCCACCAGAGGACCGGATCCTGCTGCGTGTAGTCGTCGAACTTGTCCTGTTGGAAAGTTGGCATCTTGTACATCTTCGGATTGTCATCCGCGTTCGTCGACTGCAACTGCTGGACTTCGGTCTTCAAGGTATGCAGTTGACTGCTGATGGTGGTCGGCGCAACGAAGGTTCTGATGTCGCCGAGCATTGCCACTACGTGGTCAACGCGTTGCTCCAGTTGGCGGCTAGAGGGTGCACTGCTGGAAGCCCCAGCATCTGGTCCAGGTACAGCCTATTCCAGGTCCAGCAATCGGGCATTAAGTGCCCGAGTTGCATCCTCGTGGCTCTGCACTATATGGCGGAGCTTTGCCAACTCCTGATGCTGTTGCGTCAGGTCCTGGTACTGTTTCTCCAACTCGGACCGTTGGTAGTTGCAAGCATACAGCAACCGTGTCACGAGTTTGGAGAGAAACTCCTTATGCTGCTCTTCCGGTGTTCTGTCGTCGCCGTTTGGTTCAAAGTGCCAGAACTTGAGTTTCTCGATGCTTGTGGCTTCATGCCGCTGCAGCAGATCCTGGGCTTCCTTGCGGCGAGCCTGGGCGTCTGCGTCTGCTTCGGTCTGTAGCCGTAGCTTCTCTGCCGCTGCCGCCTCTTCAGCCTGTAGCTGGGCAGCCTTGACTGCCAGCTGGCGTTGTTCCTCAGCCTCGATTGCAGCGAGCTGAGCCTGAAAGCGCTTCTTGTAGTCGGCAATGGGCTCATTGGCCAATTGGCCTGGCAGGTCCGTCATGTTGCTGACGTGGCTCTGCTGACGTGGCACTGTGTCCGACGTGGCAGTGTGTGTGACGTGGCACTGCTGATGTGGCACTGCTTACGTGGCACTGTGTCTGACGTGGCACTGCTTACGTGACACTGTCTGACGTGGCACTGCTGATGTG